CCCGCCACCACACACACACTCCCTGTTTCTTCCAGGACATGGCTCCATCAGTTATACCCTCTCTCATCCCTGGCTCCTTTCCACCTGCCAACCTGGTGCAGCTAGTACCCATTCATCTCCAAGTCACAGAAATCTTATCTCCCACTGGCTTAGACCAAAATTTATTACATCACATGACAGAAAAGATCACAGGTTCTGCTGCTTCAGTCAAAACAGGAAAAGATTCAAATCACATCCTCAGGAATCTATTCCTCCCCCTCCTACCCCTCACCCTCCCGGTTCTGCTTTTCCATGCTGGCCTCCTTCTGTGGTCGACACTCCCTAAAAACTGGAAAAGTATTTGCTGACAAAGCCAAACACACACCTTGTCAGCTTAGCATTCCAGCACAAAGAGCTTCTCTCTAATAACTCCTTCAAAAGTCCCTTCAATAGCTCTAATTTGTCAAAAAATGGCACGTATCTCCAACTGAACCACTTACTAGGGCCAGGGCAGTGAACCAGCAGATGGCAAGGCCTGAGCTGCCTGCCCACAGTTGGAGCTGGCGTAGAATTGATGTACCCTTCTCTTTACCACTGCTGTATCTAAGAAAATAGTTAACCATAGCTTTCTCAAATCATTTCACTCATACACTCAACAAATGATTATGTACATCCTTCGGTGTGCTAAGCAATGTTTTAGGTCATGGGATATAGCAGTGGCAAAATGACAGTGCCCGTGTAGCCTTTATTTTACTGAGGAGAGAGACAATAAGCAGATCTATATATATAAAAAAAGACATAAGTACAATATTTTAAATTATCTAAATCAGTGAAAGAGGAAAGAAAGTTCAGTGGATAGGCCATTGTTAATAGTGGCCAATGAAGGCTTCATTAAAGGGTCACACTTGAGCAAAAGATGAGGGAGGTAACCATGCAGAGAGATATCTGGTCAGAAAGTATTCCCAGCAAAAGGACCATTAGAAGGAAAACAAAGAACTATGCCTGCTGTTTTAGAGAAATGACATATTTGCATGCGTAAGGTAAACTCTATTAGAAAGGGGGAAACAGTGATACTGAAGAGAGAGGAACATTCCTGGAGTGATGTTTTTGAAAAAGTGAGAGAAGATGATCTATACTGCTATGGAGGTGAGCTTTAGATAACGGTGTGAACAGTATAACCATACTAATAGGAGATAAGGAAGCTAAATAGGCCAGATACAGGTCTTGGGGTGAAGTGATGAAAGAAGTTTGTAGAAATTCTCTTTGATTGCTTCTATTTTTCTCTGAAGAAAAGCAGCAAAGGTATAAACAGAGATTGAGAAAGATGTAGGTGATGTCTGCATTCAATCTTAATATAAAAATATGAAATAGCCACTTAGGAAAATGACGGAGTAAATGGACTAGGCAAGTACAGTAGGAATACTAGCAGCATCACAGTGGTCCAATTGAAAGGAGCCATCTTTAAAGTAAGATTAGGCATCCTGGATACAGGTTTTTCTCTAGCCACATTCATTGTCTTGGGTCCAGGAGCAAAATTATGGAGAATTGACTCTAACCAGGATTATTGTTTGTCTAAAGCATGCAATAAAGTGAGAGACGAACAAGGAAGCTGAGGATGTATGCAAGATAGTGATTACAATGATGGACCATTTAATTTAACCTGGTAAGGTGGAAAGTGAGGACACTAAGGGGGTTTGAGACTGAAAGATGGTGGTGAGATCAATGGGTTGTGGGTACTGAGAAATACAAAGATGGTTGGGTCCAGGCAAACTAGAAGGATAGATTTTGGTAGTTGGACAGTGAAATGGTTGAAATTCTGGAGGTATTATAGCTCAATGAGAATAAAATCGAAGGTACTTCCATGGGCATAAGTGGCAGAGTAAAGTGAAAGATAAGATCATTTGGCAGAGAAGACGAAGGCCCTGAAAGGGCAGGTATTTGAAAATAGCATCGCTGGGAATATCAAATCACTGAGGGCTATTAATGCAGGGAGAATGGAGAAGGTTGCTGTGAGCTAGAAGTTAAACTTTCAAGCAATGAGGACAGAAAGCAGTTGTTAGGAGATGAATGCACAGGAAGTGGTAATGAGTGGTGTATTCTGATAGCATGTGACGTAAGACTGAGGAATTGAGTCATCAGCCTACTAGGATGTGGCTTCTTCTTCCATTTCTCTGTTGAGAATAGCTTAAAAGGATGATAAGAGGGCCTTGAAAGAATGGTACTAGACCTATTAAAAAGGAAGTACAGTAAGTGATATGATCAATGTATATATTTCTTGCAATAGAGTCTTAAAAGAGAAAGTAATGGAAAATAAAAAACATACCTCGCATTTGGGACACTGTCCTTTCTCAACGAGTGAGGGCAGAAGCTGAGACTTGAGTAGGCAGGAACAAATAAAGACAGCATTCTGGAATCTTTATGGGAGCTTAGGCTATGCATGCTGAGTTAGATAGGTTTGTTGGACTGTGGGTCTCTGTGAAACTGCACTGAGTATAGTTTTCCACCTTGAGTATCTTTGCTCCACTTTGAGTCATAGCTCTGCATGGAGGAGAAAAGAGCTCACACATTTACTGAGATATCTGCTACAATATCTTTTCAAGCCTCTTACCGCTCTACAGCATTTAATATTTGGAATTTCTCCACTCTCCATTCAACTCATTCCAACTCTGACTCTTGTTCCTAATAATTTTTGAAATTTGGGTTCTTGTCTCAGAGGCTAAAGACCTCCAAGGTTCAGGGCTAGAGCTGACTCTACATAACTGGTTTGCTTTGTAATCTCATGCACTTTATTTTATGCATCCTATATAATAAAAGGCTAATATACAAATCGGCTGAACAGCGGAATGACCAGTCGTTATGATGCACACTGACCACCAGGGGCAGATGCTCAATGCAGGAGCTGCCCCTTGGTGGTCAGTGCACTCCCACAGGGGAAGCACCACTCAGCCAGATGCCGGCTCACTGCTGGCGAGCACAGCAGCAGTGGTGGCAGCCTCTCCGGCCTCTGCGACAGCGCTAAGGACCCCTTGGGGGATGTCCGCCTGCCAGCTTAGGCCTGCTCCCCACTAAGCCTGCAGGCAGACATCCCCTGAGGGGTCCTGGACTGCGAGTGGGCACAGGCCGGGCTGAGGCTCCCCCCACCCCACCCCCAGTGCACAAATGTCATGCACCGGGCCTCTAGTTTAAAAATAATTCTGAGAAAGGATCCATAGGTTTTAGCAAACAGGCAAAGAGATCTATGATTTACACAAAAATGTTAAATGTTTTCTTCTTAAAAGCTCTTTTCTTGGGCCTTTCTGAAAACCCAGCTTCATAATTAACACACTACCTATATTCCCAAGCTTTTCCTAGAACATTCCCAAATCCCCAGGACCTCAATATACTCCATTTGTCCCATACCCAAGGCTTTCTCAGTTAAAAAAACAAAAACAAAAAACGTTTACACTTTTCCTTGATCCATCAACCCTCTCTCCCCTCCATATTAGTTTCCTGTCACTGCTGTAACATGTACCTTGTAGGTGAAAATGACACAGATGTATTCTTTTACAGTTCTGTTCAGAAGTCCAAAAAGAGTCTGACAGGGCTAAAACCACGGTGTTGCCAGGACTGGTGCCTTCTGCAGGCAGGGAATTCCTGACTTGCCTTTATCAGCTTCTAGAGTTGGCTGTCATTCCTGGATTTTGGCAGCATCCAATCTCTGCTTCAGTCATCACCCTCTCCCACGCTGATCTACTGCCTCCCTCTAACAAGGACCCCGTGATTACATTACCCAGTCAAATAACCCAGGGGAATCTCCCATCTCAAGTTCCTCAAAGTGATCACATCTAGAACCTCTCGTTACATAAGGTAACATATTCACAGGAATTAGGAATTAGGACATGGACATCTTTGGGGAGCTATTATTCAGCCGACCACACACACCCATTTCATCCTTGAACTCTTAGCCCCATGCTCCAAATATGTCCCACCCCCTATTTTTCAATTCCAATAAATGGTAAAACCATTCATTTAGAACCCTGGGGTGAAGTGTTGATTTTATTTTTCTCGCCACTAACTTTAAGAAGAGAAGTAACCAAAATCCAATGCAAAAAATTTTGTTCATTCCACCTCCGATATCATCTAATTGTCCACTTTATCTAGTCAAGGCTGCCACCAAAACTACCCTCGGTGATGGCAACGCCTCCTTGCTGGTCTCTCCACCCACTATTGCAGCGGTTCTCAACCTGTGGGTGGCAACCCCTTTGGGGGTCGAACGACCCTTTCACAGGGATCGCCTAAGACCATCGGAAAACACATATAAAATTACATATTGTTTTTGTGATTAATCACTATGCTTTAATTATGTCAATTTGTAACAATGAAAATACATCCTGCATATCAGATATTTACATTATGATTCATACCAGTAGCAAAATTACAGTTATGAAGTAGCAACGAAAATAATTTTATGGTTGGGGGTCACCACAACATGAGGAACTGTATTAAAGGGTCGCGGCATTAGGAAGGTTGAGAACCACTGCACTATTGCCCTTTCCAATCCAGTCTCCCTATGACAGATGGAATTATATTTTAAAAATTTAAATCTGATTTAGTCACTCTCTTAAAAAAAAAAATCGTTCAGTGGCTCGGTATATCTCAATTCAACATAGAGCAATGGGTTCTTCATCGTCCCTGTACCCTGCTCATGTTGCTATAACTGTCAACACAGACAGCAGGCATTTAGGGAGGCGACCTACCCACGCACATTTTTGCAAAGGACAAAAGTCAGGCAGGAGCATAAGGGAGTGGAGCTGGAGAAGCCACCGCTTGGACCTGCCCACCCAGGCAGGCAGAGCACACAGAGGCGCTGAAGTTCTGCGAGACGGTGATCCTGGTGAGCGGGACCTGCAGGTGGACTTTGGAGGCCAAATTCGCTAGAAACAATGCAAATTGGGAGCAGGCATGGCCTCCCCCGCCCATTAAGGGGAAGCTGTGGTCAAAAGCTTTTTGTTCCGCAACTGCGCTCCCCAGATCCTGGGCGCACCGCCTCGACTGTGGTCTCCGTCCTCTGAGCTGCGCTTTCTAGTGACTTGGATTTTCTTCCCGCGAACGTCGGGTTCCTAGAGGTGCCGGGGAAGATGGGAGCCCGATCTCCAAGGAGCCCCGAGCCTCCGTGGCCGCCAGCGCCCTCTCTCTCCTGCTCCGGAGGAGCCCTCCTGGCGGTGCTGATGCTGCTCGCGCTGCCTGCTGCCTGGGGTGAGATGCGGGCGGGCGGGCGTGGGGAGCGGCTCCAGCCGGGACGCAGCCTCCGGATCCCCGCATCCTGGGGGTTCGTTTCCAGTGGGCTCAGCTGCGAGAGGTCGAGGGCACGGGGCTCTGCGACCCACCCCCTCTGTGTCCTCAGACCCTCATGGCCTCTGGGTAGAGTCGGGTTCCCCTCTGCAGGGTCTTATGCGTCCCCAGCGCAGGGAGAGCGCAGATGCGCAGGTGGTGCAGCATGAAGTCCTTGCCTTCCCTGCTGACCAGGACTGGCTGTGTGAGGACGGGGCGCTGAAAGAGGTGCCAGAAAGAGGTCTGGGCATTCCACCAGCCTGGGTTCTAATCCTGGAAACTTCTTAGCTGTGGGGAAAGTGATGAGCCCTGCCTGCCTCCCTTTCCTCTTCTGTGAAGTGCAACACCCATAGCCCTACCTCACCGGGCTGCCATCTAAATGGCATAAAGCATGCCAAGGGTCGAACCCAGCGCCTGTCACTTCATTTCTGTTCCTCATCCATTAGCTCTGAGCTTTGTTCACGGGGGTGTTTGTACCAGCAGTGCTGGGAGGTACGGTTTTCCCCAGAAGATGGGAGCCCGATCTCCAAGGAGCCCCGAGCCTCCGTGGCCGCCAGCGCCCTCTCTCTCCTGCTCCGGAGGAGCCCTCCTGGCGGTGCTGATGCTGCTCGCGCTGCCTGCTGCCTGGGGTGAGATGCGGGCGGGCGGGCGTGGGGAGCGGCTCCAGCCGGGACGCAGCCTCCGGATCCCCGCATCCTGGGGGTTCGTTTCCAGTGGGCTCAGCTGCGAGAGGGCGAGGGCACGGGGCTCTGCGACCCCCTCTGTGTCCTCAGACCCTCATGGCCTCTGGGTAGAGTCGGGTTCCCCTCTGCAGGGTCTTAAGCGTCCCCAGCGCAGGGGGAGCGCAGATGCGCAGGTAACGCAGCATGAAGTCCTTGCCTTCCCTGCTGACCAGGACTGGCTGTGTGAGGACGGGGCGCTGATCCTAGTGCCAGAAAGAGGTCTGGGCATTCCACCAGCCTGGGTTCTAATCCTGGAAACTTCTTAACTGTGGGGAAAGTGACGACCCCTGCCTGCCTCCCTTTCCTCTTCTGTGAAATGGCAACGCCCTTAGCCTTACCTCACTGGGCTGCCATCTAAATGGCATAAAGCATGCCAAGGATGGAACCCAGCGCCTGTCACTTCATTTCTGTTCCCCAGCCATTAGCTCTGCGCTTTGTTCATGGGGGTGTTTGGACCAGCAGCGCTGGGAGGTGCGGTTTTCCCGGGAAATCTGCCCTGTATCCGGCCAATATTCAGCCCACGCCCTCCCCAATCCAGCACCTCCATCATCAACGCGCACTCACTGAGCGGCTACTTGAGGGCATACCCCTCGCAGGACACTTGGGTTAGGAGAACGAGTGACACCCCAGACCCCTCAGCGCAGCTGGCCTCCGGGAGAAGGCACCCTGGAAAAGTGGACCCGTTTTAGCCATGAGTTTAGAACTAAATAAAACCATTCTAACCATTATGGAAATTTTGAGGTCATGCCTTCCCTTCCTTCCTTCCTTCCTTCTGACTTTAGGTAAACAACTTCAATGAGGGCCCTTGTCTTCTTATTTTTGGCTTTCCCAAAAGACCTTTGAGTTGCTGGTGCTCCTTGGCCACATCTCAGTTGGAGTGACAGTCTGGTTCTGTTTGCCCAGCTTCTTCTTGACAACTGAGCTGGGCTCTTGGCTGTTACTTGTTACTTTACATTCGTTCTTGGATGGCGCCCTCCCTCATGGGAAAAGAAAAACCAGGTTTTCAGAAAAGTTGGTGTTAACGTTTCATCTACTTAGACATCAGAAAGTAACCTGTTAGGGGAGGAAATGTAATAGAACCTAAAGTTTTATTTTCAGAAGAGAAGCGTCGCCAGTGAGGTAAGCCAGCTGTTGTCAGTGCTTGGAAATTGCTGTGGACCTTGTGAGTATCTGGCTCCCTTCTTACTGGAATATTGTGATAGTTCCCCCCTGTTAACAATCTCAGACACTATTAACTGCCCCCACGTTATTTTACTAAGGTCACCACACTAGCCTCCGAATGTAAAACAGCCTAAACCCATGGTCGGCAAACTGCGGCTCGCGAGCCACATGCGGCTCTTTGGCCCCTTGAGTGTGGCTCTTCCACAAAATACCATGCGGACGTGCACGTACAGTGCGATTGAAACTTTGTGGCCCATGCGCAGAAGTCGGTTTTCGGCCTGGGCGAGTCTATTTTGAAGAAGTACTGTAGATATTTGGCTCTGTTGACTAATGAGTTTGCCGACCACTGGTAAACTAAGCTAACTAGTGATTTACTTGCCGAAGTAGTTTAGATAAAGAAAGTGTTGATGGAATGCTGATAATGTCACAGCACTTTGGAGTTGAAAAGAAGTCTGAGAGAGCATTGCCTCCCAGGCGGGTGCATACGGACCTAGAGTGGTGAGGTTTTATGAAATCTTTATCATTGGGAGACCCGGGTTCTGGTTTGTCCAGTGTCTGCTACATACCAAATGGGGGTCTTGGATCCAGCAACAATTAACATATCCCTAACTTCCAGTGTCCATGAGTAGAAAGTGAGCATATTTGACATCCTGTTATCTGAGAGGGCTATTGCAAAAATTGCATGAGGTAGTGTATGTGATAGTGTTTTGGAACCTGAAAATCCCCGTGCACATCTAAGGGACCCTGACTAGGAAGTCACACAAGACAACCTCAAAGCCACAGGAGGTCTGAAATGGAGACATCTCAGCTTCAATGAGTGGAAGGAGCACAGCTTAAGCAGCACTTAGGGAGGGAATCCAAAAAACAGTTGTGCAGGATGATTCACAGGGCTATTGGGTTTATATACCAAGGAGCACACTAAGGAAGCATGACAGTGTTCAATAAAGCAGTCTCTGTTGCCCTCTCCTGGGCCTCAGGTCAGCTCTCACTCTTGGCCCCTGCTGTGTAGAGATGCAAGGTAGGAAGGAGGGGCATTCCGGTTCGCTTTCTGTGTTTTGTGACATATTTCAGTTTACATGTATATGCTCAGATGAGAAGGTGTGTATGGTGTCCATTGCCTAGTTTTACCTACTGTAACCTTCACCATTGGACAAGCAACTTCAGAATTGTCATGCATAGAAACACTGAGTGAAATAATTCTAATAAGGTGAACTCAAGGAAGTAAGAAAATAGCATACCTGACAACTACTCCCCCACACACAGACACACAGACTCATATACAAGCTCTTTGTCGGAGAAACACTGTCAATCTCATCACAACTGACCAAAGGTTGATAAAGGCAAAAATGTAGAAAGTATCAAGAAACTAGCAATAGATAGCTTTATCCATCATTACCAAGAGAGAAACTCACTCTAACTGTATTTTTTTCTGTTTAAATGTTAGTTAATGATCATATTATATTATGATTAGTAAAGCATTTATAATGTTTATTTCATCTCTATCCTATTTCTTTAAATTTCTATTTATATGTCATATAAATCTAGATGTAATATAAAGTATCTAGAATATTTTAGCAAACATGATTAATTGTTAATTGGGCCTCACTGGCATACCCAAAACACTATACCCACTACCACATACACACCTTAAAAAAAATACATCTGATACAGTTACATCAGTTGACTATATGCTGAGACATACAAGTGTCAATCAATTTCAAAACTTCATAATAAATCTACAGCTAAAAATTTCCTCAAATGTTTATAAATTATGCAAAACATTGCTACATAAGCCATGGGTCAATGAAGAAATCACAATAGACATTACCAAATATTTTGAATTGAAAATATACATTTGTATACTGGAAACATATATAATTTCATTAACCAATGACACCCCAATAAGTTTAATAAAGCTAAGAAACTCAAAAACCTGAAAATATGGTACATCAAAACTTTGAGAATACGGCTAAGTCTATGCTCAGAATAAAATAATAATACAAATGCTTATTTCACAAATTATGTAAAGCTGAAAATAAAAAAATCTAAGTTACCATCTTAAGAAATTTATTTTTAAACTCAGCAAATAGGCTCAATAAAATTGTTTAAAAGGTAAAATAAAATAAGTACAAATCAATAAATCCAAAAGTTGATTACTTACAGCCTAATAAAATTGAACAATCTACCCTCCATTATTTAAATTAAGTAATAAGGTGTGTGGAAAGAAATAGAAGATTAATCAAAACAGAACAGAACCTATTTGTAATGTAAAATACTTTTCCAATAGCTATTTCTTCTTTATTACATACTAGAGGCCCAGTGCATGAAATTCATGCATTTGGTGGGGTCCCTCAGCCTGGCCTGAGCCCTCTCACAGTCTGGGAGCCCTCGAGGGATGTCCGACTGATGGCTTAGGACCGATCCCCAGTGCCAGCAGTCACACATCCCTCTCACAGTCTGGGCCTAAGGCGGTAGTCGGATATCCTTAGCATTGTTGCGGAGGCGGGAGAGGCTCCTGCGACCACTGCTGCACTCACCAGCCATGAACCCAGCTCAGGGCTTCTGGCTGAGCAGGACTACCCCTGTGGGAGCACATTGACCACTACGGGGCTCCTGTGTTGTTGAGCATCTACCCCCTGGTGGTCAGTGAGCATCATAGCTACCAGTTGTTCTGCTGTTCCGTCGATTTGCATATTAGCTTTTATTACATAGGATTGTTTAAGTCTACATGGTATTTTTATTAGTTTAACTTAAACCTTTACATCTTAAGAAGTAAATGAGACTAATATTTAATTCAAGATGTGCATTATAAAATATAGGCCCTCACAAAGTTTAGTTGTTGAGTTTGGTCTGCAAAACATGTGCTGATTTTTCCTGTGCTGATGTATTGACTTGGCAACATCTTTTAATAGTTGTGACCACTACTGAAGGCCAGAGAAGAGGCTGTTGTGCTGTTAGGTTTGGGTGGTCAACTGCGAATGAAGATACATGGTGAAACGCACTCGTGCTGCTTATTATGCAAGAGGATGGGATAGGAAGGGAAGGAAGGGAGGGAATCCAGAGCCCAGGGACTTTCTGATGGATAAAATGTGAAGCTATGAATTAGTTTTTCCTTCAGTGAAAGAACAGATAGATTAGATATATAGATATAGATAAAATAGATATAGATTATATATAAATATATATCAATATAGATATAGATATACCTTAATTGCCTTCAAAATAGCAGGCACTTTTAAAATGGATAGATGCTGTTTTAAAAAGCTCTTTTCTAAAGTTGTTGCTAAGGAAAGCAATCCTTTTACCATCATTAAAGTGTTCATTTTCTTCTTTGATCACATCTATGAAACATATTGGAGAAAAAGAGGAGGTGGAATAGAAGTTCCCTTGACCCTGATGATGTCCCTGTGATCTTGGCCTTAGGTCAATGCCAAGCCCCGCCATATTTTGCATCTGCCATGCCCACAAGATGGACTGATGAGGTTGAGTTTCCCATTGGGACATCTTTGAAGTATAAATGCCGCCCTGGTTACCAGGGGAGACTTTTCTCTATCACCTGCCTAGAAAACTCGGTCTGGTCAAGCCCTGGAAGCTGTACACGTAAGTAACTCTGGACTGAGAACTCCTCTGTCTCAGTGAAACATCCATAAGAACTGGTGCAATTGTTCAGATTTGGGAATGAAAACATCTATGACTTGTAAGTTTGCCTAATTAGGACCTGAGGACCAAGAGAGGTCATATCTTCCGACTGCTTTGAGTTCCTGGCACCTTCATTAAAACTTCATTACATAAGAAACTGTCATTATAGGACATGATTGAGGGAAATCTCCATTCACTAGGCATCTGCCATTTTCACAACTGAAACTGATGAATGACTCAGGAAAGGATAAAGAAGTGCAAGTAAGAACAAAAGCTCAGACTCTGAGACCTTTACACTGGTTGAATCACAGAGTAAACACTTTGGTAACAAATAAAGTTTACATTTTCCTGGGAGGCATGAGGTGAGGATTAGATAGAACTGGAGGGGAGGTCCTTTTTGAAAGTGGTGCTTATTAGGCGGCTGATTTTGAGACAGTGTTGTGAAATTCCCCAATGTGGCAAAACCTGTAGGACTACAAATGTTCTTCAGTAAGCTGCAGCCAGGTTGGGTCTTTACTAAGAGAAGTTCAAGGAATTCTACACCCAGTCCCCAAATTCTGCTTCTTTCCCATAGGTAAATCATGTGGAACTCCTTCCGAACCCATAAATGGTAAAATGGAAATAACTGGAGAAGCCAAGTTTGGATCAACTATTAATTATTCTTGTAATGAAGGGTGAGTTTGCAGTAGCATTTGGGGGGTGGTGAGGGGAGGTGATGGTTCAAAAATTGTAACAGCAATTTCTAAACAATAGTATTAGAGAGGAGAGTCAAACTACCTACCCGTTAAAACAAACCAATAGGATTTCTAAGTGGAGGTGGTAGCTTCAATACAGGCATTTAAATACCCTTGAAATGATTAAGCATATATTTCAAAAATAGGAAAAAAATCTAGAAAATGGGAGGGGGGTGCCTGTTGTATACCAAATTAATGCACATAAAACCAGGTGAAGCATTCATTGGATGGGGAGGACCAGCTCTCTAAAGAAGCAAATGGAACAAACACTAGTTGACCCACAAATATATTCTCTCCTCAAAGCACCAAGAGCTGGGGATGGTGGATTCAGGGGGAAGTGGGAGTGATTTGTTTGGGAGGATGGAGCAGGTGTGAGGAATGGGCAGATCTGAATTGTGATAGCTCCTCTCCAGAAGTGCTCACAGTGCAAGCATCATGCTGGGGACATCTTCTTGGCCTATCCTTGGGGGAGGCACCCATTTAGGAAAGAAGTAGGGGGACTGCTTCACCTTATACTTCACTTTTGCTTTGCTTTTTTGCTCACTTATAGTACATACAAAATAATATATGTGACCACTTAACATAGCGGTAACAATAAAATGAGCTCCAGTGTATAAACTACTCACCTTACGAAATATTACTAGTACCTTTGGAGCCTCCTGTGTGCCCTTCCCAATTCTCGTTCCTCCACCTCCAGAACGTCTCCAGAAGCAAGCACCATTCTGAATTTTATGTTTTTCATTCCCTGGAGTTTCTTTTTTTTTAATTAAAAAAATATTTTTATTGATTTCAGAGAGGAAGGAGGAGGGAGAGAGAGAGAGAGAAACATCAATGATGAGAGATAATCATTGATTGGCTGCCTCCTGCACGCCCCCCCCCCCAGGGGGGCCCAAGCCCCCAACCCAGGCATGTGCCCCTGACTGGAACCGAACCCAGGACCCTTCAGTCCCCAGGCTGACACTCTATCTACTGAGCCAAACCAGCCAGGGCTGGAGTTTCTTTTTTATCTCCTCCCATGCATCATCCTAATCAGTATATGTATCTTTAAAATATGTATACTTTTTTATTTCAGAGAGGAAGGGAGAGGGGGAGAGAGAGAGAAACATCAATGATGAGAGAGAACCATTGATCAGCTGACTCCTGCATGCCCCCCACTGGGTATCTAGCCAGCAAAATTTCTGAATGGGCCAGATATTGAGTTGAAATTTAAAAAAAGGAGTATGGGTGACTCCAAGATTTTTGGTTTGATCTGAAAGAAGGAAATACCAGCAATGGAATAGAAGTATTTTTTTTCCTAACACTCAACACTAAATGGTATATATACTTTTTAAATTAAAAAAAAACCACATTATTGATTT